GGGAGAGGGGCGGGGCAGCTAGAGGGGGGTCAGAAATTGGGGAAACCTTTTGGGAAAAGTCTATTTTTGAGGTTTGATGGCTAATAACACCACTTTTTCTTTTGGAGTAGTACCATAAGATTATATATCAATGGAAAGATAATTTAACCAAGAATGTAATGCAACATAGTTTGTTGAATTATCTGTGCTGTATGAAAAGTTACAGCCAAATAACCAGAAAAAGGAAGCACAACTTGCTCAGGTTGACATCAAGTAGCTTTCCTTCTTCTGATGTAGCCAATGAGCATGAGTGTTTAGAGAGCCAATCGGGTGTCATCCTGTTTTGGCCATGAGCCAATCAGATCACAGGAGGATCCAGTGATTGATGTCCTGTATTGAAGCCAAGAGGAGGACATTTGTCAGTGTGTTGTGTGATGGCTATCAAGTCGGTTGGGTTTTTTTGTGTTCTTTCATCTAGTGAGCTTGTAACACCTAATAAAATTAAAGTCATGGTGCAAAGAGTTGACTGGTCGCCCAGAAAGCGATGTAAAATAGTCTTATTAAGTGAACAAGGCTACAGTTATGAAGAAATTAGAAGAAAAATGGGTGGAAACTGAACCAAAGGTGGCGTTTCTACTGTACACTTTTCCCAAAAGGTTTCCACGATTTTGGCCACTGCTGTAGACTCAAAGCTCCATTGATTGCAAAGTTTGGAGACGGGGTGGCAAGGAAGGGTCCGAAGACCCCTGTGCTGTCCCATCTCTGTTCCTCCAGCAAGAATGACTAGCGTGGAAAGGGAAAGTGCCACGGAAGGCTGAGGAATTCTGGAAGTTGAAGTCCACGAGTCTTAAAATTTAATAATATAAACCAGGGGTCTTCAAACTTGGCCCTTTGATGACTTGTGGACTTCGACTCCCAGAATTCCCCGGCCAGCCATGGGAGTCCAATTCTGGGCACTAAAAAGGTTCAATCTTGGCAATTGGAGCCAAGTTGATTAATCAACTTTGCATTGATTTAATCTTTGTGGATACTATTTGTCCTGGCTGATGGAGTCTTCATTGACATACGTAATTCTGGGAGTTGAAGTCCACCAGTTTTAAAAGACCGGTCTTGTAGTATGGTCACACTACTACAAAAAAGATGTTGAGACCTTGGAAAAAGTTCAGAGAAGAGCAACTAAGATGATCAGAGACTAAAGCATACGAAGAACGGCTGCGGGACTTGGGTTTGGCTAGTCTAAAGAAAAGAAGAAACAGGGGAGACATGATAGCAGCGTTCCAGTATTTGAGAGGCTGCCACAAAGAAGAGGGGGTCACGTTATTCTCCAAAGCACCAGAGGGAAGGATGAGAAACAACGGTTGGAAACTGACCAAAGAGAGAAGCAACCTGGATTTAAGGAGAAACTTCCTGACAGTGAGGACAATCAACCAGTGGAACAGCCTACAGCTTTGCCTCCAGAAACCGTTGGCGCTCCATCACTGGAGATTTTTAAGAAGAGACTGGACATTCACCTGTCTGAGATGGTATAGGTTCTCCTGCTTGAGCAGGGGGCTGGACTAGAAGACCTCCAAGGTCCCTTCCAGCTCTATTCTATTCTATTCTACTCTACTCTACTCTACTCTACTCTACTCTACTCTACTCTACTCTACTCTGTTCTTTTCTTATTTCTATTCTATTCTATTCTATTCTACTCTGTTCTGTTCTTATTTCTATTCTATTCTATTCTATTCTATTCTACTCTGTTCTGTTCTTTATTCTATTCTATTCTATTCTACTCTGTTCTGTTCTTATTTCTATTCTATTCTATTCTATTCTATTCTATTCTATTCTATTCTACTCTACTGTGTTCTTTTCTTATTCCTATTGTATTGTATTGTATTGTATTCTACTCTGTTCTGTTCTTATTTCTATTCTATTCTATTCTATTCTAAAGAGGTCAAAAGAAATTGTGAAGACACACACCGAGGCAAACTCAAGCACATTCGTTAAGAACTGGACTTTACTTAAATCACCTTCTAAGCTGCATTAACAAGTAGGAGTATTTCTGATCACTACCAGCGGGGCAGCAAAAATCACACACACACACACACACACACACACAAACACACACATACATACATACACACAATGTTCCTGAGGCCCTGTTGAACCAAAAAAAAAAGTTCTTAGGCTTGCAATCTGGTCTGTTTTGAATGGATGTAAATGAGAGAAAGCCACCAAATTCCCAGAAACTTCTAATTTAAAACCAGACAGCTATTGCGAGAGGAAACTTTATTCTCTAGCGCTGAAGGCATTACCTGGACAGGTAACCAAACGTCGGAAAGCCAACAACCAAGTTCGGAGAGCACCAAGGGTGCCACAAGTTTATTTTCTGTTTGCATCCTCCCTTTAGTACTTGTTCCAAAGCAGACTGGAGATCCTGGGATTGGCCAGAGAGAAGAGTGGGATCCATTGTGTAATGTCAGAGACCAACAACTTCAGGTCACACTGGATCTGCTGTGAGTCTTCTTTTTTTTCTTTTTGTTTTGAGGAGGGATTGTAAAATTTTTATTTAAAAGTGTGCTAAGCTTATTTTTCGGAAGGGGGGGTACACCACCGTCTCTTACACCACAAAATAATGAAACTCAACACCTCTGCTTTGGCAATTCCATCGAGGGTCACAACGGAATACAGGTAGTCCTCGACTTTCGGCAGTTATTTAGTGACCGTTCAAAGTTGCAACGCCACTGAAAAAAAAGGGACTTATGACCTTTTTTCATAGTTACAGCCATTGCAGCATTCCCCAAGGTCACGTGATCGGTATTCAGCTGATTGGCAACTGACTCACATTTATGACGATTGCAGCGTCCTTGGGGGGGCATCACGTGATCCCCTTTTGCGCCCTTCTGACAAGCCAGGTCAACAAGGGAAGCCATATTCACTTAACAACCGTGTTACTAATTTAACAAGTGCAGTGATTCGCTTAACAACACTGGCAAGAAAGGGTCGTACAGCAGGGCAAAACCCACTTCACCAATGTCTCATTTAGCCACAGAGGTTCTGGCTTCAACTGTGGCCGTGAGCCGAGGACTACCCGTAGGATGCAGAAGAGGAGGCCGTTTCCTAAGACAGATTTTGGAACGTGGCACCCCAAGGCTGTATAAAAGAGCAATGAAAAAGCTTGCAAAAATATAACACATTAATATTAGTTGTATATGCGGGTTGTTTTTTTAACGAAACAATAAAACAAAAACGAAAAAAAAGACATCGTAAAACGAGCAAGACGGCGCCTGTTTTCTCAATTTGGTTCCCCCTTGAATGTGTTGGGATACAAATTCGACACGACACCGGCCTGTAGCAAGTGATACGTATACAGTCCTTTCAGGTAAGCTCAGTCATGGCAGGGCGCGGAGATGAGCAAATTCCAGATCCAGAAAACCTCCGAGGAGCGACCGTTTTGCAAGTGAAAAAACCTCACACACTCCGACGACGTCAGGCCCAGAACCCCACTTCTTTTGTTGCTGCGCAGACTGCAGCTTGTTAGCGCATCTTATAGTCATTAGACACGGAGGCTTCGCAAAGCTGCCCTTTAAAATCCAAGTCAACTGTAAAATCCAGATCGCGCTGTAAAGAATGTAGAATTCAGATCCTGTTGCTTACTAGTTGTGGACAAGAGAAGGCCGGTGGTTAATAGCGCACATTTGGTAGGTGCTCGACTTAACAACCATTCGTTTAGGGACCGTTCCAAGTTATAACACCACTGGAAAAAGGGACTTAGGACTGTTTTTCGCACTTAGGGGCGTTGCAGCGTCCCCAAGGTCACGTGGTGAAGATTCAGACAGGATGTTCGGAAAAGACACACTCTAATGCACGGGTGTCAAACTCGCGACGTCACGTGACGTGTCGCGACGTATCGTGACTTTTTTTCCCATTGCCAATGGGGTGGGTGCGGTTTTGGCGTGACGTATCCGGCCCACGGGCTGGCAGTTTGACACCCCTGCTCTAATTACTAAATACTAAATACAAGCCTACTTTGTTGAGGAGCAAAGTGGTCAAACCCAAGACCCAAAGGTTTCCCAAATGATGAGACTAGCTGTATCTCGGAATACAGGTGTATCCCACATACAGGGTTAAGAGATTATTTCCCCAGAGGTTATTTCCCCAGATGTTTCCTTGCAGTTGACTTCATCGGTCGTAAAAGTCTTCTGTAGACTTCTCCCAGCCACTTTGGTCTAATGGTTAAGGCATCTGCCTACAAAGTGGGAGACTGTGAATTCTAGTCCCACCTTAACCATGAAAGTCAGCTGGGTGACTTTGGACTGATTACCTCGAGACAGTGAGTTCTAGTCCCACCTTAGGCATGAAAGCCAGCTGGGTGACTTTGGGCCAATCACCAGGAGATGGTGAGTTCTGGTCCCACCTTAGCCATGAAAGTCAGCTGGGTGACTTTGGACTGATTACCTGGAGACAGTGAGTTCTAGTCCCACCTTAGGCATGAAAGCCAACTGGTTGATTTTGAGCCAATCACCAGGAGACTGAGAGTTCTAGTCCTGCCTTAGCCATAAAAGCCAACTGGGTGACTTTGGACTGATTACCTGAAGACTTTCTAGTCCCGCCTTAGGCATGAAAGCCAACTGGTTGATTTTGGGCCAATCACTAGGAGACGGTGAGTTCTAGTCTTGCCTTAGCCATGAAAGCCAACTGAGCGATCTCGGGCCAGCCATTCTCTTTCAGCCCAACTTACCTCACAACGTTGCCATTGCAGGCAAAATAAGAGTAGGAAGGTGCCTTGGATATGTTCGCCCCCTTGGCTTAATTTAGAAAAAAATAATAAAAGCGGGATACCAATCCATTCCTAAGCTTGTAGCTATCAAATGTGATTCTTCAAGATCAGGCTGTGATTTTATCCACTAACTTGTTTGACAAAACGCCTGTAAGACCCCGGGGCCTGAAACCAACTGCCCCACCTGGAGGCCAACGTTCCTATTTTCCAACCTAACTTACCTCGTTTTTTTCATTCGGTTTCATGGATATGGTTCCATAGATTTCTTCCCCTCTTCGGACGGTTAGATAATCCTCCAGGTAGAAGACCGTCTGCTTCCAGTGTGTGTAAGGCGCATCTGGAGCTACAAAAAAAAAAGAAGAAGATATATTTGGTTCCTTTTAGATACTGTCTTGGTTTACCTGCAGATTACCTGACCACGTGCTCACCGGTTTGACTTCCCCAGAAATGTACAAAGCTTTGCAACTGCAAAATTTTAACAGCCAGCTGATAACGATCGTCTAATGGGTTTGACCCAAGCCCTGTTCAGAATCTGTTGCCTGTGTATAAATCCTGAGTTCTCTGAAATCAAATTTCTCAAAATGCTTCCTTGATTCCTATCGATCTATTTCTGCAGGCGAAAGAACGAAGCAATGGTTCAGTGGTGTATTTAAGAATACAGACAAATGGCTGTCCAGTCTCTTCTTAAAAACTTCCAGTGATGGAGCACCCACAACTTCCAGAGGCAGGTTGTTCCACTGGTTAATTGTTCCCACTGTCAGGAAGTTTCTCCTTAGTTCCAGGTTGCTTCTCTCCTTGATGAGTTTCCATCCGTTGCTTCTTGTCCTGCCTTCAGGCACTTTGGAGGATAGCTTGACTTCTTCTTCTTTGGGGCAGCCCCTGAGATACTGGAAGGCTGCTATCATGTTGTTAGAATGTCTTTGACGGGAACCCCCCTCCCTTTCCCCAGAGAGCACCCAGGGCAATAAAAGTGGAGGGGGGAAACGATGTGGTTAAAATAATAATTCTGGAGCTACACACGCAGCACTTTTTTCACACGAATAAAGCCATCGCTTTTAGGCTTCGATTGTACAGCCTCATTTCTTCCAGCCTTGTGAGATGCCAGATCAGAGCCAGCAGCCCCGTTTCGTTCCCAAAGCAACAGACAATGCTGGTTTATAGCTCCCCCGTGCGATCGGCCATAACTCAATGTCTACCGCAAGGCAAGGCTGAAACTTAAGAGACATCAGAAGCAAATTTCATTTCCCTTTGGTTTTCCAGAGAACTGAACATTTAGGTTACAAGAAATGAATTAAAGCAAAGGAGGTGGGGGAAATGGCCATCCTTACAAATAATTTTAAAAAAGGAGGAAATAATATACCTGTAGAAAACCCAATTTTCTTATGGCACTTCGTAAATTCTATATTAAAATAGGTGACCAAGGCATGGATGTAGTCGTTGCGTTGAATCTGGAGGCAAAACGCAGAGGTGAAGGCCAGTTCTTCTGGCTTTACGGTGTAAAGATCCACGTCCTGCATTCAACGGAGAGATGAAGAAGTGTTTTAACTAAGTCACCCCCAATTTCTCAGCCTGCAATAATAATATAATAATATAATATAATATAATATAATATAATATAATATAATATAATATAATATAATATAATATAATATAATATAATATAATATAATATAATATAATATAATATAATATAATATAATATAATATAATAATATAATATAATACAATACAATACAATACAATACAATATAATAATATAATACAATACAATACAATACAATACAATAATATAATATAATATAATATAATATAATAATATAATATAATATAATATAATATAATATAATATATAATATAATATAATATAATATAATATAATATAATAATATAATATAATATAATAATATAATATAATATAATATAATATAATAAATATAATATAATATAATATAATATAATATAATATAATATAATATAATAATATAATATAATATAATATAATATAATATAATATAATAATATAATATAATATAATATAATATAATATAATATAATATAATATAATATAATATAATATAATATAATATAATATAATATAATATAATATAATAATTAATATAATATAATGATGATGGAAGGGATCTTGGAGGTCATCTAGTCCAACCCCCTGCTCAGGCAGGAAACCCCATATTATTTCAGACAAATGGCTGTCCGGTCTCTTCTTAAAAACCTCCAGTGTTGGAGCATTCACCGCTTCTGGAGGCAGGTCGTTCCACTGGTTAATTGTCCTCACTGTCAGGAAGTTTCTCCTTAGTTCTAGGTTGCTCTATCTGATTGTGAAACATTAGTTGTGACAGAATTCATTCTGTCTGAACCCATGCCATTTGTCAGGACTAGTGATGTAAAAAACAAACAAACAACAAATTCAGTACTGAATATTATTTTAAAATAATGCTTAATCCCTTCGTCTAATTCATCTTATAATAGTTTTCAACAGCATTATGATGCCTTAGAGACGTTTACAGTCTCCTGGATTCAAAGCCATTGAGCGGGTGCACGTGTGTTTGCATCTTTGTACAAAATTATACTTCTTACTTGAACAGCTTATAACGGCTTACACGTGAACACGGTTTAAAAATAGAGCTGCTGGTTGAATGACTTAAATCTGTAGCTTTTATGCTGCATCTTAAGCTTGTCAGAGAACCAAACTGATTGATTCATTGATTGAATGAATGAATAGCGCTGAAGGATTACTTCCGGTAATTTGGAAGTTTCTCCTTAGTTCTAGGTTGCTTCTCTCCTTGGTTAGTTTCCATCCGTTGCTTCTTGTCCTGCCTTCAGGCGCTTTGGAGAAGAGCTTGACCCCCTCTTCTTTGGGGCAGCCCCTGAGATACTGGAACACTGCTATCATGTCCCCCCTCGTCCTTCTCTTCGTTAAACTAGACATACCCAATTCCAGCAACCCTTCTTTATATGTTTTAGCCTCCAGCCCCCTAATCATCTTTGTGGCTCTTGGCTGCACTCTTTCTAGAGTCTCAACAAATATTTAAAATGGGCCGTAGAAGAACACCACAGTCCAATCCAAAGATGCTTAAGTATCGGACCCGGATACCTTCGAGACCGCCTCCTGCCGCAGATTACCTTCGGACCCGGATACCTTCGAGACCGCCTCCTGCCGCAGATTACCCCCCATCGACCTGTACGCTCCCATAGAGTGGGTCTCCTCAGGGTGCCGTCGGCCAGACAGTGCCGGCTGGCGACCCCAAGGGGGAGGGCCTTCTCTGTGGGAGCTCCCACCCTCTGGAATGAGCTGCCCCCAGAGATCAGGGTTATCCCTGATCTCCCTTCCTTTCGCCGCGCCCTCAAGACTTGGTTATTCCAGCTCGCAGGACTGGCCTAGGGTAATTTTTAGAGGGGTTTTAATTATATTTTAAATTGGACAATATTTAAATATCTCTTTTAATTAATTTTAAATTTGTATTGTTATTTATGTATTTTAATTTATTGTCAGCCGCCCTGAGTCCTACGAGGAGAAGGGCGGGATATAAATCCAAATAATAAATAAATAAATAAATAAATAAATAAATAAATAAATGTTTCAAGAATCAGAACAGGAGCTACTAGATACAGGGGTACCTCGGTACTCATTGTTCACTGTTTCCGGGAGGCCTGGTGAGCACCAAAAACAACGAGCGTCAAACAATTTTTTTCCCCCATAAGGAATAATGTAGTGAGTCACAAAGCAGTCAACACCAGTAGGACTCACATCTTAATACAGAAGATTCTCAAAATGAATATAGAGCAAGCTCAGAGAATACCGAAGACCCCTCAAAGGTAAGTTTACCTTGCCTTCCAGTGCTTCATGGCTGAACATATACATAATACCTTGAACTTTTAAAATAGATCATGTTTCTCCTCCATCCAGCTCTTGCTGTGGTTTTGTCTCAACAGGCTATGGATATAAAATAGAGCATTCTGCAGCTGATCCAAATTCTAGCTGAGCTTTACTATGGGAAATAACTTAAATAATCTGACACGCACCCCTCATTCATTCCAAACGGTTATCTAACCGTTATTGGAATTCCTTTTTTTTCCTTCTTTTGCATGGTGGGGATTTTTACAGCACAGCATATAGTGTTTCCTTAGTGCTGCCAGCACTCAGCTGCGGTTCTCACCTCTTCTTTTTTTCTTTTCACTGCTGGCAAATTTCTGTTTCTTAAATATTTAGTTCACTTGGCCTGCCAACGTTAGATTTCTTGGAAGTGGGACTAAATGGGAACAGCCGGCTTTCAACGGGAGGCGTTCCAAAGGCAGCTTTCGTAATCAAAAAGGATCTATAGGCTGGAACAATTAAGGAAATTTTTTTCTCTTCCTATTCAGACTAGAAGTCCTTGTACGCAAGAACCACAATGCACATTTTATTTATTTATTTATTTATTTCCATTAACTTATATGCCGCCCTTCTCCCCACGGGACTCAGGGCGGCTCACAGCATGTTAAAACAACACAAAACATTTCCCCTATAAAAGCCAATTAAAAACCAAATATTTATAGCTGTGTCTTATTAAAATCATTAAAATTGTCCCTATTTAAAATTCACCCTAGGTCAGTCCCGCTTGCTGAAAAAGCCATGTCTTGAGGGCTCAAGGACTTATAAGCCTCAAAAGGTTGCCACCCATAAGTCTTATCTCTATGGTGTTTTGGGTTCCCCCAAGGTTCTAGGCAGCATATACCCTTTATGAGGCCTTGGTAAGGCCACACTTGGAATACTGCATCCGGTTTTGGTCACCACCATGTAAAAAAGATGTTGAGACTCTAGAACGAGTGCAGAGAAGAGCAACAAAGATGATTAGGGGACTGGAGGCTAAAATATATAAGGAACAGTTGCTGGAACTGGGGATGTCTAGTTTAACGAAGAGAAGGACAAGGGGGGACATGATAGCAGCATTCCAATATTTGAGGGGCTGCCCCAAAGAAGAAGGAGTCAAGCTATTCTCCAAAGCACCCAAAGGCAGGACAAGAAGCAACGGATGGAAACTCATCAAGGAGAGAAGCAACCTAGAACTAAGGAGGAATTTCCTGACAGTTTGAACAATTAACCAGTGGAACAACCTGCCTCCAGAAGTTGTGAATGCTCCAACACTGGAAGTTTTTAAGAAGAGACTGGACAGCCACTTGTCCGGAATGGTATAGGGTTTCCTGCCTGAGACGGGGGTTGGACTAGATGACCTCCAAGGTCTCTTCCAACTTTATTATTATTATTATTATTATTATTATTATTATTATTATTATTATTATTATTATTATTATTATTATTATTATTATTATTATTATTATTATTATTATTATTATTAAGTTTATATTTTGAAAAGCACCCAAACCTTTATTAAACAAGCATTGGTCACCACTTGCTTTGGGTCAACAATGTCCACCAACGGCTCCCTCCTGGCAACGTCCCGGATGCAGGTCATGTCGAAGCCGTAGACGTTCTCCCACCCTGTCAGGGCAAAGAGGGACGACCTGTAACAAGTTGGCTAGGAAACAACAGGCGAAAAGCAGACCCAAGTAAGTTGTCTGCAGACTCACAATGGATTTTGAAGTCCTTGTATTGCCGATCTTCAATGGCCACCATGTATAAAGCCGCCCGGTCCGGAAACATAAGCCCTCCAGATTTCTGTGGACAAATTGTAGTGGAAATGGATGTCTTCATCTATTCGCTTAACAAAAACATCACATTTTTGAAGGCGTATATTAAAAAAAACGACAAGGATAACCCCCCCCCCCACACACACACACAAGCATCCTTTCCTCTTTTTCGGTCACTTCACAGCTCAAAAGGGCTCGGAAGGATGACCGTCAGAGTGGGTAGACCTTTGCTTGGGTCTAGGTTAGAGGTGGGGAACGATGGCCCCCTTCATGACTTGGGGACTTCAGCTCCCAGCATTCCTGAGCCAGCATGGGGTTCTGGGAGTTGAAGTCCCCAAGTCATGAAAGGGCCATACTGTATTTCCCCCAACCCCAGTCTAGAGTTATTGAAATGGACAAATTAGACCAAAACCAAACCAGATGCTGACTGGAGAAAGACAATGAAGACCATCTCAATAATAATAATAATAATAATAATAATAATAATAATAATAATAATAATAATAATAATAATAATAATAATAACAACAACAACAACAACAACAACAACAACAGCAACAAAAAAACAACAAGAAGGAGAAGAAGAAGGAGAAGAGGAAGGAGAAGGAGAAGAGGAAGGAGAAGGAGAAGAAGAAGAAGAAGGAGAAGGAGAAGGAGAAGGAGAAGGAGAAGGAGAAGAAGAAGAAGAAGAAGAAGAAGAAGAAGAAGAAGAAGAAGAAGAAGAGGAAGAGGAAGAGGAAGAGGAAGAGGAAGAGGAAGAGGAAGAGGAGGAGGAGGAGGAGGAGGAAGAGGAGGAGGAGGAGGAGGAGGAGGAGGAGGAGGAGGAGGACAATGACTTTGGGGTCCTTGGTGCTCTCTAAGTTTTCTTGCAGACGTTTCATTACCCAACTAGGTAACATCATCCGTGCTAGAAGGGAGGGAGGTTTGTGGAGTGGAGGAGAAGCGGAGGAGAAAGAAGAAGAGAAGGAGGAAGAGGGAGAGGGGAGGAAAGGAGAGGGAGGGAGGGAGGAGGAGGACTGTGGGGGTCCTTGATGCTCTCTGAGTTGGGTTGCTTTCTCGCAGACATTTCATTAACCAACTAGATAACACCATCAGTGCTAGGACTATTGTTTTACAAACAAAATACCGTGGTACGTGATATGTCGCGTACCGATGATTACGGAAAAGGCGGTATAAATACATTTTAACAAGCACACTAAGTAGCCAATATCCTCTGCGTTCGTATTTTGGGATGCCCCTGAAACCACGTGACAGGCGTCCCTCCAGAACCAGCCTTCAAAAGACCCCCGAGAAGCTAAGACAGCAGAAGACCCCGGAGGCCTACCAGCCACTTGTCCCGAGCGAAGATGACCGTGTTCAGCATGGACTCGTAGAAAAGCGAGTAGCCCATCCACTCGCTGATTATGATATCGACCTGGTCCACCGGCAGCTCGATTTCTTCCACTTTGCCCTTGAAGATGGTGATGACTGGGAACAGAATCAAGACACGGAACGTTACGCGGAGTTGGCAGATTTTGATGAAAGAAAATGACGTTAAGTGCTTTCGTTTCGACGTGGAGGCCACGTCTAGATTTTGTGCTGGAGGCAAGGAAAAGAAATAACTCTGTTATTCTGTTAAAGGGTGTGAAAAATTGAGAAGTTGTGGCTGCTCCATCACTGGAGGTTTTTAAGAAGAGACCGGACAGCCGCTTGTCTGAAACGGGATCGGGTCTCCTGCTTGAGCAGGAGGGGGCTGGACTAGATGACCTCCGAGTGTTCCAGTATCTCAGGGGCTGCCCCAAAGAAGAGGGAGTCAAGCTATTCTCCAAAGCCCCTGAAGGCAGGACAAGAAGCAACGGATGGAAACTAAACGAGGAGAGAAGCAACTTAGAACTAAGGAGAAACTTCCTGACAGTGAGAACAATTAACCAGTGGAACCACCTGCCTCCAGAAGCGGTGAATGCTCCAACACTGGAAGTCTTTAAGAAGAGACTGGACAGCCATTTGTCTGAAATGGTATAGGGTTTCCTGAGCAGGGGGCTGGACTAGATGACCTCCGAGGTCCCTTCCAACTCTGATTGTGAGTCAGTGAGGTGCTACGCTGAGGAGGTGGGAGATGGGGGCAGAGGGTTTTCAGGAGAGGAAATCAGAAGCCTACACCCTTTATCCTCTAGGCCAGGGGTAGGCAACCGTGGCCCTTTTATGACTCGTGGACTTCAACTCCCAGAATTCCTGAGCCAGCCTGGCTCAGCTTGGAAACCTCTCCGTTTCCCCTCAGCGTGGCTGGCTCAGGAATTCTGGGAGTTGAAGTCCACGAGTCATAAAAGAGCCAAGGTGGCCTACCCCTGAGTTACTAGGAAGATGAGGGGACTTCAACTCCCAGAATCCCTCTGCCAGCATGACACCCTATATCAGGAATAGGCCACCTTGGCCCTTTTATGACTGGTGGACTTCAACTCCCAGAATTCCTGAGCCAGCATGGCTCAGCTTGGAAACCTCTCCCTTTCCCCTCAGCACGGCTGGCTGACTCTAAGCAGTTAACTTATTTGTGGAATGGGTAACTTCCATAATAGATTGTGGGAATGCTACGATACGTATTATATCTTGACTTTAGCAAAGCATTTCTTGAAATGGAAACGCTTGTTATTGGACGATGAATTACCCAACCACCATGTTGTTTCCCTAATACCCGAAGCTTTGTAAAAAATGGAAAATTAATAAAACTTGTTTTTTTTTAAAAAAGGAGTTTCATTATAAACTGCAGGCAAGCCAGCTGTGTGATACAGTTGGAAAAAAATAGGCAATTTTATGCTTGCCTTATAATTTCCAAATTACCGGAAGTAATCCTTCAGCGCTATTCATTCATTCAATCAATGAATCAATCAGTTTGGTTCTCTGACAAGCTTAAGAGGCAGCATAAAAGCTACAGATTTAAGTCATTCAACCAGCAGCTCTATTTTTAAACC